ATGTACCATCTGGTTAGGGTGACGCCCTTTGCGTCAGTGTGATGCCTCTTAATCAGTGTGATGCCCATTATACAGAGTGATGCCCCGACTTATAATAGTGATGCTTAGATTCATTTGATTGAGTGATGTCCAGACTGATCAGAGTGATGCTCCGACTGATCTGAGTGATGCCTCTTAATCAGTGTGATGCCCCTTATACAGAGTGATGCCCCGACTTATAATAATGATGCTTAGATTCATTCGATTGAGTGATATCCAGACTGATCAGAGTGATGCTCCGACTGATCTGAGTGATGCCTCTTAATCAGTGTGATGCCCCGACTTATAATAGTGATGCCCCCACTTATTATAGTGATGCTTAGATTCATTTGTTTGAGTGATATACAGACTGATCAGAGTGATGCTCCGACTGATCTGAGTGATGCCTCTTAATCAGTGTGAGACCCCTTATACAGAGTGATGCCCCGACTTATAGTAGTGATGCCCCCACTTCTAATAGTGATGCTTAGATTCATTTGATTGAGTGATATCCAGACTGATCAGAGTGATGCTCCGACTGATCTGAGTGATGCCTCTTAATCAGAGTGATGCCTCTTAATCAGTGTGATGCCCCTTATACAGAGTGATGCCCCGACTTATAATAGTGATGCTTAGATTCATTTGATTGAGTGATATCCAGACTGATCAGAGTGATGCCCCGACTGATCTGAGTGATGCCTCTTAATCAGTGTGATGCCCCATATACAGAGTGATGCCCCGACTTCTAATAGTGATGCTTAGATTCATTTGATTGAGTCATATCCAGACTGATCAGAGTGATGCTCCGACTGATCTGAGTGATGCCTCTTAATCAGTGTGATGCCCCGTATACAGAGTGATGCCCCTACTTATAATAGCGATGCTTAGATTCATTTGATTGAGTGATGTCCAGACTGATCAGAGTGATGCTCCGACTGATCTGAGTGATGCCTCTTAATCAGTGTGATGCCCCTTATACAGAGTGATGCCCCGACTTATAATAGTGATGCCCCCACTTATTGTAGTGATGCTTAGATTCATTTGTTTGAGTGATATACAGACTGATCAGAGTGATGCTCCGACTGATCTGAGTGATGCCTCTTAATCAGTGTGAGGCCCCTTATACAGAGTGATACCCCGACTTATAGTAGTGATGCCCCCACTTCTAATAGTGATGCTTAAATTCATTTGATTGAGTGATATCCAGACTGATCAGTGTGATGCCCCTTATACAGAGTGATGCCCCGACTTATAATAGTGATTCCCCCACTTATTATAGTGATGCTTAG